AAAACGGTACGCGTTTAAAACGCGTTTAAAACAGAAAAAAGCTAACTAGGTCTACTTCTGCTCTAATTGATTTAATCAGGTCTACTACCTTATTTATTCAACCAATAAATCTTTTTGCTACTAATTTAATTGAAAACACGACGCATACGTTTAGCTCAAATGGACCTACATGCTAAACCCTAATATGACACTCTTAGGGACTCACACTTACTAAACTTAAATAATAGCATTTCAAATCACGTGTCTTGTCGGATCGGAGTGTGGGGAACCCATAAGATTGATGATTCAACCTTTTGAATGAGCATTGTTCCAACAAACACAAAATAGAATAAATCTTAATAAGTGAGAATAGTTGTTAACAAAAAGATAAAAAAACAACCTTAAATTGTTATTTTAATCACTTCAAACATTTTATCCATGCAACAAGATAATATTTTAACGTAGACAAACAATTCAAGATAATTCAAGATATACGAAGTATGTTTTAAAACTTATGCTAAAGGTATATACGCTAACTAAAGTAAAATTACAAAAAAAAATCACATGAAGAGATTTAAATTTTGCAAAATAAGTAAATATAGAACGAGTAGTTCATAATGTTAATTACCCGTATGGTCTTGTTTGTGGGTTAGCATTTCATTTATTTATGTCTCTTAATATTTTACTTTTCATTTAAAACTTTGACCTTTTCAATTCTAATTCTCATATTTCAAAAATAACCTCAATTTTAAATCAAAATCCAAACCCAGAGATCGTCGTTTGCGAGCGCCTGAGACCTTGTTCGTCCCTTGCTCACGAATGTTGAACCGAAGAACTGAGATGTGTGCGGTTGTTCCCCTCCCGCCCTGCACCGACTGCGCCTCCGACATCCGGAGCTCAACCCTCTCCCCTCCGCCTCCTTCTCTGCGGCTCCATGCTCTGCCATCCATCCTCCGCCCCTGTTCACTTGGCTACTCTGCTGCTAGTTGACTACTTGAATCGCAGCCCGACCCTGCTGGTTTGGAGGTACGCGTTTGAGATTTTCAACAGTTTATTTTCACTATAATCTTTGATCCTAATTCATCTAGTTAAACTTTCTTTCTGATTATGATTAACGAGAATTTAGATAGTGAAACCGATAGGGTTTGCATTATCCCCTTCGGCTTTCGAGGAATTTTATTCTCTATGTCCGTGGGGGGCCGCATTGCTTCAAGAGGTGTGTGATGCACACAACACACGATGTTAGAGTTGATTTTTCTGGAGAGAATCCAGACTAATGTAATAATGGGGATATAGTAAAGACTAAGTTGCAGGCTGCACTCAGCGTGCAATAGAGTTCTACTGTGATGAGTTTCATAATCCAAGTAAAGAGATAATCGACCCGAATCCATACCCGGTATTTGACTTCCTCTTTCTCTCCAGATGTTTGATTATGTGAAATGGAGTTGTGTGGGTCAAAAGGGAAATAGTTTGAGAAATAGGAACTTTTTAGCATGATATTTGAAAAGCAATTGGACAATAACTTGCTCATTTAGTGTCCACTGATCACAGTAATGTAAGGCTAGCATGGGCGAAGTTCAATGATCATAGTAATGCTACGCCAATACATGCATGAATTAAAGCATTCCATTTTATCTAGTTAGATGAATAGATGCTATTTATTTGGTAACTAGTTAGAAAGGACTGCAGTTAAAGAGACAAAATACTTAAATTAATAGAATAAGATAACATCTAAAAGTGAACTGATCTTATACTGGTAGTCTATGAAAGAAGACACATTGTCTAAAATTTGAAATCTGTTATAACAGTACTCAAATATCCAACTTCATTTATTTACATGTCAGTTGTTTCCCATTTCAGATTGTTGATGTGTTAACTTTGTCACATCTCTTCCAGTTATAAAGTATATTGCTTTTCCAAGTGTGTGGGATGCTATAAGAATGCAAACTTTTTTTTATCGTTATTGTTGTTTTTTCTTATGTTTTTATTTATAGGAAGTTGAAGAGAATCTCGAACTTTTCAAGTCTACCTGGCGCGTCTTGGGTATCACGGTGACAATAAAATACACTTGGTATGCATAGGTGCTTTGTTGTTAGGTAAATAAATGTAACAAAGATTCATTAGTTGCACTTGTACAATCTTCTTTGAATATCAACTTCTTTCTGCATGCGATGTCATAACTAATAACTGCATATGTTCTATGCATAAGACCTATGAACAGAATCAGTAGAAAACTTGATATTCTATTTGCACGCATTTCTGGTCAATATAAAGTTCATACGTCGTTGCATTATTTATTACGAATAGACTCACTAGAAAACTTGATATCTTATTTGTATATACTTGTTTGAATAGCAACTTCTTTCATGATCAGTTGTTTGCATTATTTATTATAAATGAAATCCTTTTGATATGCATATATATGTAATAATATCACTTATATAGGTGTATTGGTTCCTTGTAATATTTTTTTTGGGATTTTGTGTCATAATGATTGCATTCCCGTTATAGGCACATGATAGAAAAGAAGTAGATGAAGATACAAGGCTGAGAATATTGACAAAGAAAGTGTAGATAAAAGAGACACACTTTCTAAATTGTGTGTTATGGTGCAATATAAAAGGAAAAAGAAGCAAGGAGAACATATACAATAGATGTAATATCTAAATGTAATAATTAAACTGTAATAAGAGATTCAATTACATATATGTTGTGATATTTTTATATGTTGTTTTTGTTTCTCTTTGTTGCATTGCACTTGTTGCTTTTTGTTGCAATATGTTATTTTTTGTTGAATCATGTTGCTCATTGTTTTTATTATTGATTTTGATTTTTTGTCTAATTAAATTTACATTTATGTTTTTTACTTAATTGGAATAAAAACTATATATGTGTGTGTGCTTGTGTGTGTGTGAGTGTGTGTATATACAAATACCTAAGAAGATAAGTCTGGATTTAAGAATAAATATAAAGAAACATGTAGAAACAATAAAAAGAAACACAAAGAAACAATATGCAACAAAAGGAACAATTAAATGATGATGATGATAATAATATCTAAAATGTATGTGTATATCATAATTACTAGTATAAGTTTTTCAATTTATAAGTTCATTTTCTTTATTTTTATTTTTTCACTTTCTATTTTAAAATTTTAAAATATACACACTTGTTAATTTTCTTTACTTTACTGTTTTTTAATTCTAATTTTTTTAAACTTTATGTTGATTTTTTTGAATGTTATAATATCTCAAAAATTTACTTGAGAGCCTTTTAGAACATTTTCAAATCACAGAATCATACTCTTTAATATTTTTTCAATTTTTACAAATTTTTAGTTTTTTATTCATCTTAATTTTCACATTTTTATTTTAGAAGACGTACATTTATTATTTTTGGACATTACCTTAAACTGTTTATTTTTTTTTTGTGTATTTATGAAAATTTATAGGATTTTTTTCTTGCTTTAATTTATATATTTTTTCATTTATGAATTGTAGATATACTTTATAATTTTATAGTTTTATATTTTTAATTTTAATTTTTCTAAAAAATAATTTACATTTTTTCAATTGTGAGAAATGTTTCCATTTCTTACGTTTTAATATTTATATTTCTATATTTTCCTTTTTTGTTGTAATTTCATTAATATCTTAGTTTATATGGGGTATACGAACTCTTTTTAAATTTTAAAACTACTTTAAAGAGTGTTTCCTTTTTATTTTTATTTCTGTATTTATAAGTTTTCAATAATTATTTTAACATTTTTCTGACTATTTTTTAAATTTAATTAATTTTTATATTATTTAGACTTAGTTAGAAGTTTTAGACTTTGTATTTGTTATTACGCCTTCTTGTTTTTTCTTAACCTGGATACTTTTTTATAATTTTTATATTTTATATTTATTACTCTTATTACTTTTTTTTATTTAATATTTTTTGCATTTTCATAAAATTTTACATTATTATTCAAAAACATAAATTAAATAAATATTGAGCTTGTACGTAGTATTAGTTTGTCAACAGTGGGCATAGTTTCTTACGCACAATTCTTTGCATTATACGAAGTATACTCCAGTGAGCGGATCTTGTATTGATGGTCTATTTGTGAAAGAAAAAAGTTATGAGCCTAATTTTGAAAGAAATTTTAAAAAGTGAAAAAGTGATATTATTTTCACTTTTAGGTCCATTTGTGCAGTTTTCCCTAGTTCATTAGTGAATATGGTCCAATGACTCTCGTATAATTGCCATTGTTATATTGTTGTACACACTTTTTGTACACATGATCTTACTCACGCTTGTGAGCAGTTTTTTTGTCAGTGAATAGCCCGTTCACAGAAAAATGGTTTTGTTCGTGAACGGGTTATTCACTGACAAAAAGATAGTTATTCACATGCACATGTAAGATAAAGTGTACAAATATTTTTTCTCATCAATGACACGTCACGATGTACTCTAATACCCCCTGTCCCTTAAAACTTGGCCAAGTTTGAACGACATGAGAATTAATAAAGTAAAACTATGTGGTTGAGATTTGTGCAGATGAAAGAGAATTAACTGAAACCTCAAACTCTTTACTTAAAACGAAAAATGACAAAATTAATGAGACAATAAAAAAAGTAAAGTTGACAAAGTTTTAAGGGAACGAAGGAAGTATGATACTTTTAGATACAAAGTTGACTATTGATATTCTATAAAACATTGTAGAATCATACTAAGCCTAATTTTTAAGCACATAACGCGTTTAACTTATTCATGCATTTTAGAATAATTAAAATAATTAATACTGCAATTATTTTTCTAATTGAATTGACTAAAGTTAATATATAAGACAAGACATGTTAGTCATTTTTTCATTTAATTTATTTTATTTCATTAATAATATGTACAATATATTTATTTCAAAATTCAAGCGATCCTGCCGGTTCAATCTTAATTTAATCAAATCTCATCAATTAAGTTTATCGGTGTGTTCAAAAAATGTGAATATAAACAAAAGTGAGCAACATCAGAAACAATCTTCAATTATTTAGATTTGGATACCAAATTGCATGATTTCCCCTAGAAGTTGGCAACTACAAATCTACAATATCCCCTTGGCTGAAGGAGTTTAAAAAGGGACGAAAGATTTCCCCGGGCTTTCTCTCTTGCTAATTGCTGATCCAAATTTCGTACTTCTCGCAGAACTGAACAACCAATCCTTACCCGTTTTGCTAACTTCGTTATTGCTCGTCGAAGTACAGCCTGATGACAATGGAGGTTGATGAACCTCTGGACTTTGAGTTTGAAGATAATGCTGTTGTTTCCCCTTCTATTTCCAAGAAAACGTAAACCCTTCATTTTCTTTATTTATTTCTTTTTTCCCACTCCAATCACCCCTGATTTTTTGTTTACGATCGCAGAAACCGTATTTTCTTATTTAGGGTTTTTAGTTTACCTATTGCTGCCCTGTTTGCTTTAAAGTTCTCCCCCGTCCACAGCTATATGACAATGAACAACTGTGCTATTTACATTTTAGAGTTGATGTTTAAAGCAATAAAGGTCGTTTTTTTGGTGGTAAAATTAACCGTTTTTGGATGAAATTTAACTATCCTTAAAACTAAAGAACTGTGTGTACCCTCATTGGTCATGCTCCCTCAAGCGAAGTTAAATTTTCATTGATATAATTGTAGCCTGGAACACAGAGAGCCAAGAGGATAAGAACAAGTTAAAGATGATGAATTGAGTTAAAGAAACAAATAATTTGAAAAATATAACAAAGACTGCAAGCTGCTTTACCAAAATTAGCGAGTTTATATGCTGGTGAAACAAATCTCTTATAAACTTACTTTGTGTGCTGCTTTTCGTTATTCATTCTCAAATAACTCTTGGGTTTCCAAGTTTCAATTTCAAAAAGAATGTCTGCCTTCTAATGATCACTATTGTCTTGATATTCCTATATAATTTTCAGGAAAAAGGTTATAGGTTTGGATGACTTGTTAAAGGACTACTACAAGGAGAAAATCACCATTGATGAGAAGGTTAAGAAACGTGCAAAGGTCCAAAAAGTCTATGATTCTGATTCTGATGATGACATTAGTGCCAGAGAAGCTAAGTTTCATCACTGTGTTAACGAATTCCAAGAAAAGGCAAAAACCTTTCCTTCAAACATGTGCTTTTATGTTTCATATATGGAGTAACTTCTTATACACTTCTATACTTATTTTCTCCCTCCCTGCCTTATAGATGAATCAAATAAAGGCTGATGATGAGATGCCTATGTGGGGTGTTCAAGTATTTGGTTCTCAGGTAACTCATTAGCAGGATTTTGACACTGATAACGTGAATTGTTTATTCATCATGCATTTATATGTAACACTTGATTCAAGAAAAATGTAACACTTGATTAGTATAACTATATGTGCGTGTGTCTTCCATATTATTTGCAGAAAACTTTCCCAGAACTGGATTTCCCTGACCTAAGGCAGTGCAGCTATCTGCATTCTTTCTTGAATCGTGAGCTTAACTCGACTGTTAAGCTCAAAATGGAGGAAGGTCTGAGTGTGATTTTATTTTATTTAGATTAAGTCCCTTTTTTTCCTCCCCATAAATATTAAGAGTACATTTATTGAAAATGGCACTTGTTCATATATGATGTTTCAGGACAGAGTTTTCTTGAGGGCTTGCTCCTAAATGGGTGGCTTTTGAAGCTGATCAAATCTCAGGGCTGCCTTGAAGAAACCATTGCAAAATGGAGCTTTAATCTCTGTCAGTAAACTTTTACTTCTTATTCTTCCAATTGATAATTTATAAAAATATATTTCAGTAATCCCTTTGTTTATTTCAGTGTTATATTCACCAAAGCTCCAGTTGGGAAATGCAGCCTGCAACTTTTGGTGTTCCATTCTCTTACCGAACAGTGAGGTTGTTTAATATATGTAATATAAAGCTTGTTTAAAATTTTATATGCCAGATATGTGCTTTGGTGATTGAGTGATCCCATGGCTTATCTCATCTCTTGCATTTTCTCAATAGATTGACCCAACAAAGTTTGAAATCAAATGGTTTCCAAAGCATTTGGAACTGAAAAATGCGCTTGATGTATATGGCTTTTTATTGGATTCACCTTGCAAGTCATCATCATCCTCCATGGAATTTGACCATTCAGGTTAGTGGCTACATGACATTGTGCATATTGTATTCTTGAATGGTTTATGTTATTCTACTTTTGCCACAGATTCCAATTCTTCTGGTCCACCACAAAATATAAGGTTTTGGATAAAGCTTGTCTCTGCTAGTTGCCAAGTTAGGTATGCAATACAAATTTATTACTTTCGCCATATCTTGTAGTTTTTGAAATCTGAAAAATATGTATTGATCCAAACTGTTAAATATTAATGGTTGTATGGTCCAGTTTATATTTAATTTTGTTAGGCTCAAATGGAGTACCACATCGGTTCCACAAAGATTGTTCAGTTTATATATTGAGCATGTGTTACTTTTTAATTAAGCACACCCCTACTTAATCATCTAAATTAAACTTAGTAATACTACTCCAGCATATGAAAATTTTAACTTTAAATTGTAATAATTTGGACTGTGCCTAAAACTAATTGTTTTCACTAACTTAGTTTGTGTCCACGGAGGGAAAAGCAATCTATTAATTTTAGTATTTTTACTATTTTAGCATATAAGTTCTTTTGTATGTCTCACATTAAAAGAAGTGGTTTTCTTAATATAGGAATGCGTGTTCAACCTTCTCAACTGAAGAGGTGGAAGACATGATAGTTGTGGTAATCTGCATGTTTATGGACCGACAACTTCTTGGCCTCTCCCCTATCTTGGATGAATGTCTTCACTCACTTATAAGCTTCTTTAATGATAGTGAATTTGGTGCCAGCTGTATCAAAATAGCCAAGTCTCTTGCCTGCAGGTTTGCTTTCTCTGTACTTTTTAATTTCTTTTTTTCCCGTTATTTTAAATGCGTTATGATTCTATTTTTGTTATCTTCTTTGCTCAAATGCAGACTGAATACAGATATTAGCTGCTTGAGAACTGTTGAAAGTATTTCAGTGTTTGATGCTCGTGGTAAGCGTTTAAGAAGTGCCGTAGCCTTTGAGTTTCTAGTAGCATGCTTTGATAGTAAGGTATCCTTTTTCTTGATTTCTTTTTCAATTTATAAACTTCTTTGTATTTTATTCAGTGTTTCCAATTGTCATTGTCATATACAGCCTTTTCCACTTCCATGAAGCTAAACAAAATGATCACATTGGTGCATGTAAGATTTTTAATTACATGTTTAAGTAGCTTTCTTCTGTGTAGGTAGTTGATGGAGAAGGGATCTTAAAGTCTATAAATGCCATTAATCTGAAAGATGAGGATTTTGAGCTTGAAAAGATGTATATATACTTGATATTGGTAGACAACTGGCTCTTCTGTGACCCTAAGCTAAAAGGAAATGCAGAACTCAAAAAGATGTGGGCTGCATGTCTCCGTAACTGTTCCTGCCAAATCAGCAGCACAGATTTGAGGTCTTATGCTTTAAAGGTAGACCACCATTGTACTCTCATACCACCCCATACCCCACCCCACACACAATTGGCAAGACTCCTTGAAGACATGCTTTGATTTTGCAGGTCAGAAGTAAAGCTTCATATCTTTCTCAAGGCCATGCTAGCAAATAGTTAAGGGGGTGGAAGGGGCTGTGGGATACTTTTTGCAAATAATCTTTTCTTTTTTGCAATATCATGTAAATGGAAAGGCAGTGCATAATTATGTATGCTACTTAATTTTGACAGAAAATGAAGATAATTGGCAGAAGGTGGTTTCCTTAGAAGTTTAACTTAGTTTTTTTCCTTTATTGACTTTGATGTAAGTGCTCCTACCAGATATCATTTTAAAAGTGCTAAAAACTGCAGTTAATGGTGTACCTGGGCCGGTTCAATCTGGTTTTGGGTTGTGTGTCTCGTGACCAGCTGGTTCCAGGTAGGGGTAATCCGAAACTTGGCCGGGAAAGTTGCTTCTGGTTACAGTCCAGTTCTGTTTCAGTTTTCTTATATTTTGGATATGAATCTATGCTAAAACTTCAGGAACTCGTCCATATTAGTTCTCGTTCCCTCCAAAATAGGATTAGACTACGCATGGCCGTGGTTTTAGAAATAAGATATAAGTTGCTCCAGACTAAAACCGTATTGTAACTATATTGGCTACACCCGATTCTAGTTATGAGTAAGCCCAAGCCTCCATTGGGTTCAGAATCAGCCGATCTTGATTAGGTATGATAGTGTTCTGTCTACGGTCTATATCGAACAAAAGAGTCGTCCTCAATGTCATAATTTTTTTACTACAGCAATGTTATGGTGTTAGTTGTGTTTAAGTAAAATTAGTGTTTGTAATAGATATTCTAGCTTGTAAAGAGAGATAAAACGCTTTAGATACTTGTACGTTATATATTAGCTTAAGTTGTATGAAGTTCTTATGATTAGTTATTAATTAGATCTTAATAACAGGGCTTAAATGTCGGTTTTTGTGCTTAAGATAATTGTTTTAGTACTTTATTTAGGTACTATGGTTGTATCCATTCTCATTCCTCACCAAAAAGTTTTTTTTTACGGTTTTCAGAAAACAGAGGTGTCTTCACTCACTCGCCTATCTTGTACCGCTATAGTTTGCCGCCTATAGATTGTCATCATTTGCTCATCTACTCTACCAAAGTGTATTATCGTTAATTTTATGATTAATTTGTCAAAATTATGAAAAGGAGTCACTTTAGGTCTACAATAAACTTTTATTTGTCGTTTAAGATGTTTTTAATTAGATTAAAATTTCTATTCTGATCTAATCTGTTAGATGTTTGTTCTACGTATATTTTAAAACTATTGAAGTTTGGTGTAATTAGATTTAATCTGGTTTGAAATTAAAATCGGTCAATTAAATATACATATGGCCATTTTTATTGCATTTTTAGAATGAGAAAGAGAGGTTCACATTATTTACATTTATTTAGTATCACATGACCCCAAAAATTAATCATTGCAGTGGAGCATAATAAAGATAGCCTCTTTGTTTTGTGATGTGGTCTAATTTTTAATGTTGCAAGGGTAGCTTTGGGAATGTTTTAAAGGTGGTTATGTTTTAATGTTTGAAATATGTGTATTTTAAATTGATTATGTTTCTGTTTTTCTAGAGAAGTAGAATCATAATCGATTTTTCACTTTTTTAGAAGTTGATTCCCCCCGGATTCTAAATAATTGCTTGTAGGAGTAAATTGAAACTTTTGGAATTTTTATACTTTAATGGAAATATGTACATTTATGAAACTTGTTTTAAATATGTACATTTACTCCTTATTAAAAATAGGATGATATCTCATCCCTAAGAGCTCTCAGAATCGACCAAACATTTATTTGAAATGATATATCTTGAGTTTTGATCACACGTTTATAAAAAGTATGTGAGATTTCATTCCAAAATATGTACTTGGAGTTGAACTTGAGACGCTCCATTTAGGGCTCGTTTGGTAATACTCAATCGTTTGTATTGGACCATTGGTTGATTCCATTGAAATTTATGAAATTCAGGTTGAAGTAGCTGGATTGGCTGATTCTGTCAATTTATGTAAAAATTATATTTAAAATATACTCCCTCCATTCTTTTTTAAATTTGACATTGCAATTTTTCACTATTCACATATTCTACTTCGACACAATTTTATTTGTTAATGTATTATAAATTAAATTTATAAAAATATTGTTAAATTCCTCTCATTTAAAATTTACAAATTTTATTTTAATTATTTTTTACTAATAAGGAATGAAAGATAATAATGGTCAAACTTGTGCGTTGGCAAACGTGAAAAGTGGACCGTTGCATTTAAAAAGAACGGAGAAGTATTTTATTAATAAAATAAAAAAGTTATATGACAAAATAACTAAAATTATCCTCTCCGGTAACTTCAGTCCATACAGCCAAAAAAATAATTATGTTTTAAGGGAGAACTACCAAATAAGCCCTCGAACATTCATAAAATGTGCAAATAAGTCCTTTTATAGGAGGCTCTGTTCGGCCGTCGCCATTTGGGGCAGTTTCCAGTGGAATGTTTTGATGAATTTTTTTGAGCATCTTCTTCATTAAGTCTAGTTTATTCATACCAAATTTCAGCTAACAATTCAATCGGGAAGACAGTCAAATGAATTTTTGAAGATAAATGCGTAGTAAGGCAGCGCAATATATGTCAGAAAATCATTTGACTGCCTTCTAGGTTGAATTTTTAGCTGAAATTTGATATGAGTAAACTAGACTTAACGAAGAAGATGCTTAAAAAGTTTCATCAACAAATTACACCGTAAACTGCCGCAAATAACGACAGTCAGACAAAACCTCATGTAAAAGGACTTATTTACACTTCTTATGAAAGTTCGAGGACTTGATACTTCCCTCCCTTTTTTTATTAAGTGATACTTCGTATTAAACCATTCAGTGCAAAACATAGAAAATGATGTGTTATGAAAAAGTTGATTATAAAAAGGGAATACTGTCAAATAGTTTCTCGAACTTTAATAAAAAGTCAATTAAGTCCTTCTATAGGACACTCTGTCCGGTCGTCGCGATTTGGGGCGGTTCCCTGTGGAATTTTTTGATGAAATGTTTTGACTTTTGAGTATCTTATTCACCAAGTCTAGTTTACTCATACCAAATTTCAGCTAAAAATTTAATCGAGAGCGCATTCAAATTAATTCGAGAACGCAAAAATGCGCAGTTATCTTCAAGAATTAATTTGAATGTGTTCCCGATTGAATTTTTAGCTGAAATTTGGTATGAGTAAACTAGACTTGGTGAATAAGATGCTCAAAAAATTTCATCAAAATATTCTACCGGGAACTGCCCCAAATCGCGATGGGCGGATAGAATCTCCTATAGAAGGACTTAATTGACTTTTTTTGGAAAGTTGGACGTATTTGAAAGTTGGATATGCTCCTATGCAGGCTAGGCTCGGGTATTCTATCCGCAGCTGAATTTCTTTGCTTCATGAAGCCGTTGGAAATTCGAACCTAAAGATCTCTGTTTACGACGGCTATTCTTTTTCCACTTTCGCTCTTCTAAGAATTCCACCTTCCTCTAAACCCTTTCCAATTTGCATATCTCAGCAAAGCTGATGCAGAATCCTCTAGAAACATTTCTTCGAAACTTTCTTCAAAACCACAGTTAAACTCGTTGTACACCCAAACAACACCGACCGCGTGCACTTAAATAACGAATTCCTCTGGTTGTTCCTGGAACGACTTCTAGGGTTTCGAATTGTACTGTTTCGCAGATTTTGATCCTGTTAGCTTTCTTGAATCTAGGTATTAGGGTTTAATGTCTTGCGAGTTTCGATTGAATATCATCATTTACCCAAAATGACAAGCGAAGTAGTGGCAAAACAGTCATCTTTTGGCGGCGTTGTCAGAAAGAGGCTCTCAGACATCACAAATTCTACGCAACCACCCAAGTTCCCTATGGATATGGGAACATATGCCTCACCAGAGGAATACATCAATCATCTTGTCAAGGTATAAACTGTCCATTAATTAAATTCAATAATAAAACGGGAGAGGGATCATAATTCTTGGAAGGGTACAAGGGCGGTGGTTTTATTTTTCTGAAGCATACTGACCCTTTTTTGTGACATGTGCTTGAAATAGGAAAACATGGCGTTGTTGAAACTCTTTGAAGACAAAAAGTAAGGTTTTAATTGCTTTCATAGTTCTTTTTAATGTTCGTTTAGGTTTTATTATTAGAATGAGTAGCAAGTTTTTTTCTTGAATATCTTTTGCAGCAAAGTAATTGAATTGAGCGGGATTGAGATTCAGAAATTGAGGGTTTCACTTCAGAAAATGCAGCTTCAGAACCAGAGTCTTGCTCAGTCAAACAGCCAAATGACTGCGGTGGGTTTTCCTACACATTTTCTGATATATTATGCTTTTACACGAAGCATGTATAATTGTATTACAATCTTGATGATGATGATGATGCTTTGCCTCGTGTGTTTCTCATGCAGGAAGTGACCTTGCTGAAAGAAAAGGTAAGCCCACCACCCACCTAAAGAAATGGGTAATATGCAATTTAGTGTAAATTAGATTTGCAAATGCTTTCTGGCCAATTTTGTTCTCTATTCTTTCTAATAATTCTATTTGATAGTGCAGTTAAATTTGATTCGTCATGAGCTTGGTTGCAAGGTTGTGCTTCTCAAAGCAAAAGATCTGGAATCAAAGGTTATTAAACTGTGGATATATTTTGACATTGTCAAAGCGTTTCTTTTGTTATGTGCTTCCCAATTCAAGTACCTTGCAGTAATAATGTCAGAGTTAATACTAATTTTCCATAATGTTTATAGGTGTTTTAACTTTTAATAGCACAATTAGGAGAGACGTTCTTAGTTTAAGATGCATAGAGATAAACAAATAGTCACTTTCTCCAAGCAGGCTAAAACATCAAGAAATGTCAGAAATATATACAAGCTCAAGGACATTATAGTATTTTTTCATTTATTCTTCAAGAACTTTGGAGAATCCTCTGTTCTAGAAAACAAACATGTTTTACTCCTATTTAGGGAGAACTCACCCTTTTCTAAATGATTGAAATTTCTATTGCTATTACAGGAACAAGAAAATATTAAAGGTAGAAAGAATGAGAGTCAGGTATGTAATTAGCCCAAAAGAATCTTATATTCTTCCCTGTTAGAGTATAAATATTAAACTCAAAACGCTACTAATTATTTTGTAACTTTATTTATTTATTGAAATAATATAGGATGGGAAGGCTGCAGCAGCTCTACCAATTGCAGAGAGCAGCAAACCTAGAAGGGGAGGAGGGCAGTTTCATGCCACAAGAAGTCGATGTAACCACTACTATATTTTCTTTCTAGTTTCTTACTTGTAATTTTTTTGCGTGTGTCTTACTTGTAAAGTTTAAATCTTTTTTTATTAGCCATGACTCCTATGAGCCATTCAACTGCTTCACAACAAGCTCCAAACGAAGAAATTGCTGAAAAACGGTTATATTTTAATCATATTCTATTATCTTCCTTTAAATACTCAATGTACTAAAAAAAGGACCAACAAGTTGTGCTTATATAGTTATATGTACTGTGCAGGAGGCGCTTAAGGAGGCAGTCCGCGTTTTACCCAAAGCAGGAGCAGCAGGAGGAGGAAAAAGAGGAGAACTTGTTGGAAGACACCACTGCATCAGAAACCCTTCCTGATCCAACCATCACCCCTCCCTTGCCTTCTGATCATCAACGACCAACCAGAAAGTCCATTTGCGGCCGGCCATTACGTAAAGCAGCAGAGAAGGTTCAGTCCTACAAAGAGACTCCGCTTAATATCAAAATGAGAAGACCAGATTGAGTGCTTCTTCTACATACTTTTGCCATTCTAACTAGTCTGCGTTTTATGTGCTCTTATTCACTCGGCTGAGATTTTGTAGTAAAATCATATTCTTGAATTCATAGTAAGCAGTTGAATGTGTACATGTATGGTGTATTGCCGTACGAGTATGTGAGACTTTGTACTTTGACATACCCTATTGTGTCCTGTTATTTTGAAAAATCACGTTTGATTGTCACATGTTTCATTTTGTAACTCTTTAAATGGATGTGTTGTGTGTGTTTCTATATATCTAGCATGTCCTGTTATATTGAAATACTCCGTATAATGTTTTCTGTGACAAGTTTCATTTGATACTCTCTCTATGAAGTGCATCATTTTAAATATTTAAAGTCAATTACTTCAAATGTTGAAGTGTTTCATAACTACGCTCACTGGCGGAACTCCAGTACTTCATTTTAAATATTTAAAGTCAGGCTTAGGCCGAAAAACATGTCTTTAATTGTTTAACATGTAATAGGTCAGTGTCAAGCCTATATATAATAAGACTGGCCTAACCTGTTTACGCAAAATTCTGATTTCACATATTTTCATCCTAAGTATGGAGT